TATAAATAAGGTTTAAATACTGCCCTCAAATAGTATGCACGTTCTTTGCTTAGTACATGGAATCCAAGAAGGCAAGACTAGTATGTGAGTGATTTTCAGATTATAGAAGCATGCATTATTCTATCCACTTACTCACAAATATGCAATTACTGTACCAAGTACTATACATACTAGGTCATATGTATGATTTCCCTTCCTGGTGCTTCTACATTTGCTCTTCAAAATAAGTGTGGGGGTCAGAGGGTGTGTGTGTGAGGGGGGAGGGAGGTCAAAGGGTATGCATATCCTGAAATATGTTTTAAAATGTTGCCAAAGTGTTTGATATTCTGGTGCATACATTGATTAGTGGCTTCCTTTTAGCGTGTGGTTGTTGGGGAACTGGCCCGTGCCTAGGTGGGGTCCTCCAGAACCGAAGGAAAATATATGTAGAATAAGTCTCGAGCTGATACGTTTTATGCTCCTGAACTTAAATTGAGATGTCCCCGATTCTCTTACTGATGCTGGCACTCGTAGACGTCACCCTCAAGCATAGCCACAAGATGGAATCATACCGCCAGCAGCAGGTATAAAAAAATCTATGAATAGCTTCTGTGAGCAGAGCCTCCCATCTCTATCCATCCATCCTGGAGTAATCAATAAAGTAAAACTGGGCCACATGTCAGCAAACGGATTTAAACCGATTCTCTTACTGATGCTGGCACTCATAGACGTCACCCTCAAGCATAGCCATAAGATGGAATCATACCGCCAGCAGCAGGTATAAAAAATCTATGAAGAGTTTCTGTGAGCAGAGCCTCCCATCTCTATCCATCCATCCTGGAGTAATCAATAAAGTAAAACTGGGCCACATGTCAGCAAACGGATTTAAAAAATAATAATACTACTGTTACAAAGTGGCCAGTGCCAGAGAGAGAAAAACTGTTTTTTGATGTTTATCATAGAAAAATCTGCAAATGATGACGGGATTTCCTTTGTAGGAGGCTGCTCCCCTCAGGCACGGCCTGCGGCGATTCGACAGTGCAGTCCAGCCTGCAGAAAACCTTTCTCCTACTGCACTCAGGTGAGTCCTTTCGGGAGACGCCCACCGGGCTTTTCACTGCTGTGTTGCACACATGCGGCTGGATGCCTCCCAGTCACTGGAGCGAGCAGCAGCTCCATGTGCCCACGATACCATCTAGAGGCATTTGCTGGAGTAGTCACAGTGATTAAGGAACTCTTTGCAGGCAGTCTTTTTCTATAAATCTGCCTATAGGGAAATCTGTTTTTCAGATATCTAATTTATATTAGCTCTATTTACCAATAATTGTTCTCCATTGATTTATTTCTTGATTCTTAGCCTTTCATCTACCTACATTATTTTGAAAGTTATTATAAATGCATGTTTGTATGCGCTCAATGTTAAATTGATTACACTATAAATAGTATAGTGTAAATTTTTAGTTCATTTTAAATAAGTTAAATGCCTATGAATAAAAAGTATATGTGTGCACATTCACACACACACACACACACATATATATATATGAACATGTATATATATTTTAAAGCAGAAATCATTCTCCCATCTACCACTGCTCAGGAATTATGGAAAAATGTGCAGTGCACATATAATTTTTAAAGTTATGTCATGTTCCTGAAACAGGTTTCTTCTCACACACATGTGCCTTTGTGTTTTTCTCCCCTTGGGCTGCCCTCCTTGAGGGCAGAGCCAAACCTACAAGCAGGGAGGTAGTTCAGACCAGTTATTGATCAAGGGTAGCAGGTGAGAGAGACATTTGGCAGCTGGGGCAGCAACAGAGCTCAAGGAGCACATAACTCAAAGAAGATATGCACATAATTCCTATTGCTTTGCTTCTCAGTATCAAGGACAGGTTGAAGTGTGTGGGCAGGAATCTAAACAGCTGGGGATAGGGGAAGAGTTGAGGATATTTTGATTAAATGCCTTAAACATCTCCACAAGAGAGAAAAGGGTGTAGTTAGTACCATTTCTTGACAAATAATTGTGATTTCATATTTGCAAGGTGTCAGAATTGTAAACCACTAGAAAAAAGCTAATGATTTATTTAAGGGTTGACTTTGGAATTCAGAAAGATGAATTATTGGATTTTCATCTCTTTGGCAAGACTGTTGCTGAAAAAAACACACAGAGAAATTGCCATGACATATGCAAATATCAACTGATTTCAGCACTTGTTATTTTTTGTCTACACAACTCAACGAGTAATCATAAAAATATCTTTTCTGCTGTAGGGTGGAGTGTGTGGTTGTGAGAAGGGTTATACGGAGATAATGAGATCGAATGGTTTTCTGGATTACTGCATGAAAGTCCCTGGCTCAGAGGATAGAAAAGCTCATGTGAAAAACCTTGCTGGGAAGAACAGACCTGTGAATTCAAAAATACATGATATTTTTAAAGGATGGTCTATTCAGCCCCTTGATCCAGGTACATTTCACTTATGTGTTAAGAAATGTAAGTTTTCTTATGGGAGATTAGGGTTTATATTGTGACTAATATCCATGACTGAAAGAATGGAGGAAAAGGCAATATGGTCTCATGCAAGGTTTCCCAAATTGGAACATTGGATGGATAATGCACAATCTCTTTTAAATGTAAAAATTTTCATAGATTATTGAGGATAAGTCTGCCAACTTCAGCCTAAGAGATAATGAAATAACCAAAATATTAACGTTGAAAAATATTTTTTCATTATAAACTATCTCTGCAATAGTATATGCTTCTACAACTGTGAATTTGTGTATATAATTTAAATTAAAATCAAAAGGTGGAATAGATTCTCCAGAACATGCAAATGCCTTAGGAAATGTCCAAGGACCTTATCTGGTTTGGGCAACACTAGAGAAGCAAAGGCAGTGGTCAAAGGCAGACAGACCTTGTTGCTGTCATTGCTCAGAATGTGCCTGTTTTGAGTATAATTTCTTCTCCTCTATGGACCTGTTTCCTCATTGCTGAGATCCTACCCTGTAGGACTGTTGTGGGTAGAAGCACAGTGTCAGGGCTCAGGAATCGGTGGTTACTAAGAACAGGAATGAAAAGTTATTAGATGCTTCCATGTACCCCGTGGGTCTGTGCTTACTATATTGCATGAATCTTCTCATTCTGTTCTTGCAATCTAATGAGATGCTATTATTCACATTTTAGAGATTAGGAGTCTAAAACTGCCCACACACATTAATTTTACCAAAGTCACACCACTAGGAAGTGACAGCCAAGTTTGAAAAGCAGGTCCTTCAGGCCTTTATATAGCACTGGTCTCTGCTTCCCACCTTGTAAAGTGAGCAGAAAATGAACACAGGATACTGTGCCTACCACACATGCCTCTTCTAAGAAACAAAATGTTGCTAATGACTGAGCAAAGTCGCATAGCTGATGGGGCAGGGAGAAGAAAAAAACAGACAAAGCTCAGGTAAAATATACCCTGGCTACTTTCCTTCCAGACCCTAGGCCATTGCTGGACCAAAGTGCCTTAATGATGTGCTTAAATGAAGCAAAAACCAGTGCCCAGCCCCAATAACCCCTAGATCTGGTGGGAGAAACAAGATGTATATTCCTCAACCAATTTTTAAGGATGACTACAATATCTTAACTCAATTTTGATTCCCCTAGATGTCTGGGCATTCCATATGTGTGTGTTTTTTTTTAAATCTTATTCACATTATGACTAAGTTCTTTGAAGGATACGTGAAATGAAAGGTAGCCATATTCACCTGTTGTTTGTAGACCATATTTCAGAAGAGAATGAGGGTGAGGTTCTAGGGCAATGAGTCTTCAAATCCACAAGTAAGGTCCTTAACCTTTGAGGAATTAAATGAAAGCATCAATAAGATAGATGCAAATACACATGTGTGTCTATGTGTATGTATATAAGCATATATTTATATGTATATATATATATATATAGTTTTGGAAAAGAGGTCTTCATGATGAGAATATAAATTGGATCAACCTCTAGGAGGGCATCTGGCAATTCAGATCATGCTTTCTCTCCTAGCAATTCAACATACAAATATATATATACTTATACCAAATAAGTATGTAAATGCTACCCATTACATGATTGCTTGTTATATAGCAAATGAGTGGAAACAACATAAATATGTGTAAATAGGATCAATGAGAAAAAAATAATACAATTATGCAATATGTCAGATATATTAAGAATGAAATAGATTTATGAAATAGAGTGAAAATATGTGCATATCAAAAGGGAATGACATATATATGTATGTGTGTGTGTATATATATATATATATATATATATATATATACACATAATTTGTGTCTTTTTAAAAAAATGTGTTTGTGTATACATATGCTTGCATATGTAGAAACAACTGTGAAATGATTCCCAAGGAAACTGGTAACAGTGATAGCGCTTGGGTCGGAAACTGAGAGAGAGGGGCAGGAAGACTTATTTTTCACTATACATCTTTTAATAGTTTGAAATTTGGCCCTATCCATTATGTTATTATAAAATTATATTAATTCTTTTTTAAGGAATATGCCTTTAAAGGCCATGGACCACATACCTCTGCACTGGGGATTTAAAAGCATTGGATTCTCCTAATACTTCAACTCCCTTAGGCTTAGGGGTAGTAAGATTAAAGGAGCATTCTCACTCAGGGAAGGCTTTTGTAAATTGTCATTGTAAAAAACTCAGACTGGGGGATTTCATCATTAGTGTTTCAAAGAGATCAGAATCAAAGCTTTGTAAAAAGATTTTCGGCCATAGAAAAATAGCATTGAAACCTCATCCTGAAACCAGATTGATGCTTGAAAGTGTCAAAAATTACTATAGATGGTCATAATATAATTGAACATTTTATGATTTTATTCTAAAGAAGTATTTTCAACAAATTTTTATTGTTTTTTATCCTACGGAAACATTTAGAATTAGATGTTAAAGTATTTTTTTAAACCTGCAGTTAATTACATTCATCTAATATAACAACCCCGTCTGTGTGTGAATATCTTTCAGAAAGGAATGCAGTTCCTTTGCCAGTCCAATTCTGACTTTAGTTAACTCTATGCTCACATAAAATTTTAGAGTTCCAGATACATGTCAAATATCTATTATACATAGAAAAACATGCATACAATCAAGTCAGAGTTATCTCTTAGTAAAATGAGATAGAGTTCCAATGATCAGACTATTTGGTTAATCTATTTTTCTTTAACTTTAGCAAATAATCAAATCCAAAACAATGCATATTTGTACACATATGGCTATAATTTTATAATAATTTGGTAAATAGATTAGCTTGCTTGGTCATAACGTTTTTGTTCACTCATTATTCAGGAACCAAAATCACCAAAAATAGGCATAGTAATTCTCTTTGCATGCAGATTGTTTCTTAAAAAATAAACTGACAATTTATTTTCTTGGCCTATTTATGTAGTCAAGATGTATTACATGTATAAGACAGCACACACATGAAAATAAATTCAAAATAGTTTACCAGTTGTTAGATTTTATGAAGTAATGGTTGCCAGTGTTTCTTTGGCACTGTGAAATTTTTGATAGATGATCTAACATTTGATAGGTGTCACAATTGGGTGTTTTGGTTTATGACTTGTGCAAGACTCAGAAATTCAGATGAGAAATAAAAAATGTTGTATGCTAAGCTTGTTATTTTATCTCTATTTTAAACAGATGGCCGAGTAAAAATCTGGGTTTATGGTGTTTCAGGTGGTGGTTTTCTTATCATGATTTTCCTAGTATTTACTTCCTACCTTGTTTGGTAAGTACTAATTATTAGTTTATATGGGTAGCACGTTATACTAAGAGGAAAAATGTCAGGATCATTTACCCGACAAAATCATCACCAACAGTAAAATTGAGTGGGAGACCATTATCTTTATTATTCTCATTTGAAATAACATTCTTTTATTTTAATTTTTATCAGTAGCTTTCAGCTTGGCAGCTGTTTTCACTGGCATCTCCCGCCACTCCAAGGGACTGATACTCAGGTTCCAGCCCCAGAGATTTCTTATTTTAATTAGTCTTATGTGTGGCCAGGTCATCCAGATCTTTTAAAGTATCTCAAGTAATTCTAATATGCAACCAAAGCTGAAAACCATTACTCTAAATAATTCTAGATCTTAACATTTTATATTGAAAAAAAAAACAACTTAGGATGGAACTTTCTGATTTCAAAAGGAGGCTTATGCTTCCATGGTTTACTCCTTATATCCCATTCATCTGGAATGACTCGCCATACCTCCCTGCTGTGACATTTACCCCTCACTGGTATTGGAGTTATTTGTATAAGCATCTTCCTCCTCTACCAAACCCTCAAGGACTTTGTGGGAAGGAGGAGAAGAGTTATAATTACTATACTTTATTGACATATTTTTCAGAGCACAAGTTTGATAAATGTGTATTGAACAAAGGAATAAGTGGATGAATAAATGAGTAGATAAGTACAACAAATAATGTATTGCTCATTAATTTTAGAGACAAATGTCAGGAAAAATGTCTAATATTTATATGTCAAACAAAGTACTTTAAATAGATTGCCTAGGTCAATCCTCACAATAATGAGATGTTGCTATCATCGTCCCCATTTGAAAGAGAGTAAATGATCCTCAGGAAAGTTAACTAATACACCTGAGGTCATCAGCCTGGTAAAATCTACTCTGGGTTTGCCCAACCCCAGAGCATATGCTCTGTCCAGTCTCCATAGTTTCTTTTTCTTAAGTAATCCTAAAATGTCTTTAGACAGAATGCAGTGTTTACTGCTTTCACTTATTTTAGAGCTTCTTGATTTCCAAGTAAATTAAGATACAGGCCTGGGAAAAGATCTAATTGATATCAAAACACATAGCATATGCCCTTACCTATGAGTTGCCTAAAGAATTCAAACATATAATTCTATTAAATAGCTTGCAAAAGAGTTAGAGGAGAACAGTTTTAAGGATTTTATATTTTCTTCCCAAAATAAAAGGCTTAAAACAAAACAACTGCTATAATATGCCAGGTCTTTAGGTGTGTACTTTAGACGAAAGCAATCTATAATACATTTTGGAAATGCTTTTGAGAAAATATAGAAAAAGTCTTCTTAAGAACCACTTTATTCAGAAATTACTGTGTATCTCTACCATTAGTGTTTGAAGTTTTTGAAATATTGCTGATGTTCCACCTCCCCTGGCAATAAAGATCTATGAGGTAATTAATGGGGATGGCCACTAGGTGAGTTCGTAGTTAATCCAGACATAGTACCTGGAAGTTACTCCAGATAATGACATCCATTCCGCCTTGTTCAGAACAACTTGGTAAATGGGCTTTTACTCTGCTGAACTTTGAGAGCGGTGCCCCCACTTCCAGAGGGTCAGCCTAAACAACAGACAGTTTCCGGCTTTCATCAAACTATTTAATCTCCACTGGCCTGAGGATGAGTCCTTGTGGCTTAAATTCAACTGTGCTGAGAACTGCTAGCAGCTTGCCTGTCACTTTATAATGAGCTCACTTTTCTGGCTGAATGGCTTTATATTTTGCTAAGATACAAATGACTGTGGAAGAGGTCACTTTAAAATGTGTCAGTCAATGATCTCTTACAGCCAGGTTGCATGATGGATTACTAGTAGAGATGACTGGTGGTGGCCTATGTGGCAGCATTTCTGGGTCCTAATTTATGGTGAGTGAGGTGATCATAGCTTTTCTGATAACAAAATTGAGGTAAGATATGTATAAAAATAAAATGCACTTTTAATGAATATAGGGAACAAGAACTCTAAAGCAGCAGTTCTCAACCTATGGGTCGTGACCCCTTTGGGGGTTGAACGACCCTTTCACAGGGGTCACCTAAGACCATCGGAATACACATATATAATTACATATTGTTTTGTGATTAATCACTATGCTTTAATTATGTTCAATTTGTAACAATGAAAATACATCCTGCATGCATATCAGTTTACATACGATTCATAACAGTAGCAAAATTACAGTTATGAAGTAGCAATGAAAATAATTTTATGGTTGGGGGTCACCACAACATGAGGAACTGTATTAAAGGGTCATGGCATTAGGAAGGTTGAGAACCACTGGTCTAAAGAAAAGTCTCCTGGGGAATTTGGGTCAAGATGGAAGAGTAGGTAAATACTGTGCTCACAGCACCCATGATCACATCAATATTGCAACTAAATTATAGAAGAACCATCATTGAGAGTCATCTGCAGTCTAGCTGAACAGAAGTCCTATAACTAAAAATATAAAGAAGCCACATTGAGACTGGCCTGAACCTCTTTCAGTGGATTTTCCACACAAACAGACTGTCTCAGCTTCTACTGCTGACTTTCCTAAAATCTCTCAAAGGTCCAAACAAGCTACAGCTAGCCTTGGCATGCAGTGTACTTCTTCTGAAGCTGACTTAATGCTACTCTAGTGGCAGCATGACTTTGTTCACAGTATGGCACCTCCAAACCCAGCACAGGTGGTGACCAACTGCAGATCACTTTTTAGCTGCTCTCACATAGCCCCAGGGTGGGCACATGCCAAGGCTGATCTTGGCCTGCATCAAGGAAGGGCAGAACCAACACCCCTCATGTCCAGCTTCAGAGCACCATGCAACCAGCTCCAAAAATGACACACCCAAGTATAAACTCAGCAGGCATCAGTACCCTGCTATAGCAAATCCATCTCCAAGGGGTTATCCTCAAACAAAAAGGACAGCTTGTCCACTGTCATCTTAGCCAGCCCTCACAGCTAGTCAGCATGAGAGTCAACCCCACCCACTGTTATGTTAACAGTAATCAAGGCTCAACTACAGCAGGAGAATACACACAAGGGACAACTCTGGAACCCCTGGCTCAGGTAATCAGGGAGAATGTGCTGCCGGCATCCACAGGACACCTACTACATAAGGCCACTCTGTGGAGATGGGGAGATGTAGCAGATCTACCCAAAATATAGAAACAAACAGGGAGGCAGCCAAAATGAGGAGACAAATAAACATGTCCGTAATTAAAGAAGAGAGTAAAACTCCAGAAAAAAAACCAAAGCAACAAACAAAACAAAACAAAATAAAAAACAACACACTACATGTGAAGGAGTCAAGCAATCTACCAGAAACATAACTCAAAAAACTGGTTGTAAGTATGATCAATTAACTTAAGGAAAGAATAAGAAATCTCAAATGGAAACTTCAACAAAGAGAGAAAAACCATGAAAAAAGAACCAGTCTGGAATGAAAAATACAATAACTGAAATGAAGAATACCTTAGACTCGCAGTGGTTCTCAACCTCCTGGCCCTTTAAATACAGTTCCTCATGTTGTGACCCAACCATAAAATTATTTTCATTGCTACTTCATAACTGTAATGTTGCTACTGTTATGAATCGTAATGTAAATATGTGATATGCAGGATGGTCTTAGGTGACCCCTGTGAAGGGTCATTCGACCGCCAAAGGGGTCGTGACCCACAGGTTGAGAACCGCTGCCTTAGAGGGAGTGAACAACAGATTACATGAAGCAGATTAAATCAATGATTTGGAAGACAAGGCAGCATAAAACACCAAATCAGAACAGCAAAAATAAAAGAGAAGTTTTAAAAATTAAGGTAGTTGAAAGGACCTCTGGGATACCATCAAAAGTACCAAAATTTGCATCATGGGGTACCAGAAAGAGAAGAAAGAGAGCAAGGGATTGAAAACCTATTTGAAGATCTAATGACTGGAAACCTTAACCTGGCAAAGCAAACATACTTACAAGTCCAGGAAGCAAGAGAGTGTCAAACAAGATGGACAAAAAGAAGCCCACACCAAGACACATACTTAAAATGCCAACAGCTAAAGACCAAGATAAACTTAAAAGCAGCAAGAGATAGTCAGTCGTGTGCAAGGGAGCTCCCATAAGAATATCTGCTAATTTCCCAACAGAAACTTTGCAGGCCCCAAAGGATTGTCATAAAATATTCAGCGATAAAAGGCAAAGACCTAGAACCAAGGTCACTCTACCCAGCAAGGCTCTCATTTAGAGTTGAAGGAGAGATGAAGAGCTTACCAGAAAAGTAAAAGCCAAAGGAGTTCATCACCACTAAACCAGTATTGCGAGAAATGATAAAGGGACTTCTTTAAGAAAATAAAAGATAAAAAATATGAGTAAGAAACTAGGAAAGAAAAAAATTTCACTTAAAAAGCAAATAATAAAAGCAGTAGATCAACTAACTGTAACACTAAAACAAAGATTAAAGGCAAAAGTAGAAAAACTATGTAAATTTACAACAATAAATGAATAGACAAATGAAAACACACATCAAAGAAGTAAAAAAAATCATGATGAAAACAAAAGTGTAGGGGGTGAGGAAAACTTGTAGTGATTTTAAAATAGACATCTATAAATATATATTGGTATAAATGAGGCACATGGTAACAACAAACTAAAATTTACAAATGATTCACAAGAAAGAAGTCCAAACACAACACTTGGGAAGTCATGAACATACAAAAGAAGAGAGCATGAGAATAAGAATGAGAAAGCAAGAGAAAAGAACTACAGAAAACAGTAAGATGGGGATAACCACATATCTATCAATAATTGCTTTAAATGTATTAAATGCTCTAATCAAAAGACATGGGGAGCTCAATGGATAAAGAACAGGACCCATACATAGACTGCTATAAGTGACCCATTTCAGATTAAAAATAAAAAACACACAAACTGAAAGTAAAAAGGTGAAAAAAGTTATTTCATGCAAATGGAAATTTTATGAAAGCTATCAGACTAAATAAACTTTATCT